GGAGAAGACAAACCCAACGTCAAGCAATTCAGAGACTGCACACAAACACACAATATATATATATATATATGTGCATACAAGCATTGATGCTTCTGCTGCTGCTGCCTCTGCAACGCAAGGGACAGCTCCTTGCAGCAGCAGCAGCAGCAGCAGCAACAGCAGCAACAGCAGGAGGTGCCTCTTCAGCAACAGTAGCAGCACCAGCAGCAGCCATCACAGCACCAGCAGCACCAGCAGCAGCAGCAGCAATCACAGCAGCAGCAATCACAGCAGCAGCAATCACAGCAACAGCAGCAGCAGCAGTGGCAGCAGCAGCAGCAGCAGCAGCAGCAGCAGTAGTATCATACAAGTGCAACAGTTTGCTGCGCATTGAATTCTTCAGGCCTCAGTATAAAAAGCTGCTGCAGCAGCAGCGCCAGCCGCCGCAGCGGGGCAGCGCGAAGCTGCGGCGGTGATAGAGAAGAGGACCAATACACCAGGCTGCTGCTGAGTACAGACACACCAACTGCATGCAAAGCACAACGAGAACGCCACTCTGCTGCTGCTGCTGCTGCTTCTGCTGCTGCTGCTTCTGAGGCAGAGTCCGAATCTTCTGCTTCGGTTGATACTTCATCTCCTGCTGCTGCTGCTGCTGCTGCTGGTGGTGGTGGTGCAGCAGCACCGTACAATGCTTCTTGCTGCGGCAACGCTGCTGCTGTTGCTTCTGCTTTTGCTGCTGTTCCTGCTGCTGCTGCTGCTGCTGCTGCTGCTGCTGCTTCGCCGCACTTTATAGGCTGCTGCCACGGTACATACGGCGCGAGGACGAGGTAGTCTGTCTCAGCAAAGCAATCAGGAATCCGCTGCTGCTGCTGCTGCTGCTGCTGCTGCTGCTGTTGCTGCTGCAGGTAGTGGATCTGCATGCAGCCCTGAGCAGCAAGAGTGAGAGAAGCATCGATGTGCTGCAGCGCCCGCAGCGCGAGGGGCATACAGACGAACTGCAGCTGCTGCAGGTGCTGCAGCAGCATGACTGTCTGCAGCACAGAGAGTGCTTCTACTCCTTGTTGCTGCTTCTGCTGCTGCTGCTGCTGCTGCTGCAGAGGCAGCAGCTGCTGCAGCCTCTCCTCTGGCTGCTGCTGCAGCAGCTGCTGCGTCACTGCTAGCAGCACCTGCGGCTCCCGCCACCGCACAGAAGCAAACAACCGCAACACCTCCAGCAGCTCGCGGGGGCGCATGCGCCCGCAGAGCCTCACAACATCATCTGCTGCTCTCTGCAGCTCCTGCTTCAGCTGCTGCTGCTGCTGCTGCTGCTGTTGCTGCTGCTGCTCGGGGGGGAGACTGGTGTCTGCAGCTTCTCCCTCAGAACCCCAGATGCATGCAGCTTCTGCTTCGTCTTCTAGGGCCCCTACGGGGCCCCACACTTCTCCTGGTCCTCCTCCTGCAGCACCAGACAAACCTAGCTGCTGCCGCTGCTGCTGCTGCTGCTGCTGCTGCAGCTTCTGCTTCAGCCTCTGTTCAACAAGCCGCTGCAGACGCTGCACCACCTGCACACGCGGAGGAGGCGGGGGCCCCTCATGCCGTCGCTTTACGGGGCCCTCAGGAGCTGCGGTTGCTGTTGCTGCTGCTGCAGCAGGAGCAGCAGAAGCAGCAGCAGCAGCAGCAGGATCTACAGATGCTATATCTGCTGCTGAACTTAAACGCCGAAAAAACAAGCGCCCACCAATCACCTCATTGCTGCCCTTGCTGCTGCTGCTGCTGTAGCAGCAGCAGCAGCTGTTGCTGCTGTTGCTGCTGCTGCTGCTGCTGACATCATAAGCAAATGAAGGCATACCGCGAGGTATGGGGGGCCCCCTAACCCCGTCAGGCAGGGCCCCCAGGAGGGGCCCCATTGGCCTTCGGGGGGCCCCCCTATAGGGTGGGGGCCCCAGCAGGCGTAGGCCGCGCATATGCGGGCGCGTATGCATGCTGTATCAATGATTTCAACTACAGCAGCAACCGTGGCTGCTGCTGCAGCAGCTGCTGCTGCTGCTGCTGCGGCGGCAGGGAGAAGCCTTCGTTCCCGTCGATCCCTTGCTCGTGCTGTTGTTGTGGCTGCAGCTGCTGCAGCAGCAGCAGCCACTGCAGCTGTGCGGAGCTTTGTTGCTGCTGCTGCTAAGAAGCCGGAAGACGATCCCTGCAGCAGCAGCAGCAACGGCAGCAGCAAGTTGCAGCGTTGCAGGGGCCCCTGCTGCTGTGTTGGGGCCCCTCACAGCAGCAGCAAACTCACTGCAGCAGAAATTGAGCAGCATAAACTTATTTCTGCTTCGGTTGCAGCAGAAGGCAAAGGAAGAAGAAGGGGGGCCCCACAGGGGCCCCCCATTGAGGCCCTCAGGGGCCCCCCACCGTCGGCTTGAGAACGGCAGCAGCGGCTGCAGCAGCTGCTGCTGCTGTAGGCGCTGCTGCTGCGGCTGCTGCGGCTGCAGCAGCTGCTGCAGCAAATGATGTTTTTCTGCTGTATTGTTTGTTTTTATTTAATTAAATAAAACACATTTGGGTGGCGGGTGCAGCAGCAGGACGGCGGCAGCCCAGCGAGCCACCATCATCATCTGCTGCTGCTGCTGCAGCGGGCCCCCCTCTGCTGCTGTGTCTTTATAAGCTGCTGCTGCAGCAGCAGCAACACCAAAGCAGCAGTTTCAGTAGGAAAAAGGGGCCCTTGCTGCAGGACCAGCCATGCTCAGACATACGCAGCAGCCGCTGCTGCTGCTGCTGCCGCTGCTGCTGCTACTGCTGCTGTACACACCATGCAGCACGCACGGCAGCAGCGACAGCAGCAACGACAGCAGCAGCAGCAGCAGCAGCAGCAACGCGTCTCTGGCTCTCACGGAGGCATCAACGACACTCCAGGGTAAAGGCTTCCACCTCATCTTCGAGTCTCGGGTTCTGCTGCAGCTGCAGCAACAGCAGCAACAGCAGCAGCAGCAGCAGCAGCAGCAGCAGNCAGCAGCAGCAGCAGCAGCAGCAGCAGCAGGGCATTGCTGCAGCAGCAAAAGATAATACTGAAGCTGAACACTGTCTCCTCTGGCTGGAGTACCGCCTGCCGCAGCAGCTATTCGCAGACCCAGACCAAACATATGAGTTGGGGGCCCCCGACATACACGGCAAGACTCTCATAGGGGCCCCCTCAGGGGCCCCTGGGGGGGCCCCTGGGGGGGCCCCTGAGGGCCCCTTGCTGCTTCAACCCACCACCCTATTTAACCCCTCGTGCCCTGGGGGCCCCCAGGGGGGCCCCCAGGGGGGCCCCCAGGGGGGCCCCCTTGGGGGCCGTTGCACGCAGGGCCCCGTGATGGTGGATGTGGAGCAGCCGAGTTACTCAGCTAAGCTGGGGCCCCCTCCTGTGCTGCGTCAGGAGGTGTATGTACACCCCAAGTGGGTGGGGGGGGCCCCCGGCAGCAGCCGCGAGGTGATGGTGCAGCTGCCTGTACACCTGAGATATGGGGCCCCCTGCAGCAGCAGCTGCAGCGGCCTGCAACCTGCTGATGCTGCAGCACCGCTTGTGGGGTTGAACTGTCGTGGGCGCGAGCAGCAGCAGCTAACTGCCACTGCTGCAGCACCAGCAGCAGCAGCAACAGCAGCAACAGCAGCAGCAGCAGCAGCAGCAGCAGCAGCAGGAAAGGGCCGCGTGGCGTTCTTTGTGCCTGTCGGTCAGACAGAGCACTTTGCTGCTGCTGCTGCTGCATCCGCAGCTACGATTGCTATCAACATCCTCGCTGTTGCCTGGGCGCTGGCTGCCTGATACCCCACGAAGGGGGCACAGCTAGCTAGCTAGCTAGCTAGCTAGCTAGCTAGCTAAGTGCGCCCCCTCGCTAGCGATCTAGCTAGCCGTAGAGCTAGCTGGCTAGCTGTATAGACGGTTAGCTAGCTGTATAGCTAGCTGGCTAGCAGGCAAGATAACTAGAGAAATATCTAGCTAGCCAGCTAGCTGGCTAGCTAGCCAGATGGCTGTCTAGGTAGACAGCTAGCTCGCTAGCTGGGCGGGTGCTGCTACCTAGCTAGCTAGCTAGCTAGCTAGCTAGCCATCTGGATACTTGTTAGCTAGCTGGCTAGCTAGCGAGCTGACGCAGGGATGGCTTGCTGGCCTCGGCAGTTGTATTGCCTTCTGGCCGTTGACTTTTTGTATTTTTATTCTGTCTCCTTTCTTCGTTTGTCTCTTTATTTTGTTTTCTCTTTTTGTCTCTGTTTGTCTCCCTTTGTATCTATCTCTGCCTTTCGCTGTGTCTCTCTCTCTGTCTCCTTCTGTCTCTGTCTCTCCCTCTGTCTTTGTCTCTCTGTGCGTCTCTGCCTGTTTTCTTCTGTCTCTCTGTCTGTCTGTCTCCCGTCTCTCTCCGTCTCTCTCTCTGTCTGTCTCCTGTCTCCCTCTGTCTGTCTCTCTTTCTGTCTCTGTCTCTCTTTCTGTCTCTGTCTCTCTTTCTGTCTCTGTCTCTCTTTCTGTCTCTCCTTTCCCTTGGGCCCCCTGAGGGCCCTGACAGAGCTGCACTCTCCAGTGACTCTTAGCCGAGAGACTCCAGCTAGCTAGCTAGCTAGCTANAGCTAGCTAGCTAGCTAGCTGTTTCTTGATTTAGTTAAGAGAGGTAGAGGGCAGGGAGGGGAGCTAAAGAGGAGACAGCTGCAGCGAAGAAGAAGTAGCAGCAGAGAAGAGACACGGAGACAGACGGAGACAAACAACCCTGCAGCAGCAACCAACAGTCCAACAGCAGCAGCAGCAGCATACAATAACAACGACAGCAACAACAGCAGCAGCAGCAGCAGCAGCAGCAGCAGCAGCAGCAGCAGCAGTGTGCGCGGGGTTATCTCATCCAGGGGCCAGCAGCACAGAAGACAAAGGCCAGACGAGAAGGTCGGGGGTACTGCTGTTGCTGCAGCTGCTGCTGCTGTACCTCCTGCTGCAGCAAGTGCTGCTACTCGGGCTGCTGCTGCTGCTGTTGTTGCTGCTTCTCGGCTTGTCTGCAGCTGGATAGCTGCAGCAAGACCAGGCCTCAGACTGCAGGCAGCAGCGGGCCCCTACAAAGGTCACAGCAGCAGAAGCAGCAGAAGCAGCAGCAGCAGCAGCAGCAGCAGCAGCAGCAGCAGCAGCAGCTGTAGATATTCAGGGGCAAAGGTACCCAACCTAACGGGGTTATGAGACCATCAGCAGCAGCAGTAGCAGCAGCGACAGCAACAGCAGCAGCAGCAGCAGCAGCAGCAGCTGTAGCAGGGAAGAAAGAAGATCAACGAAAACTCTAAAATGTTTAATTCATTTAAAAAGATAAAAATACAAAATAGTGGTATTTGTTAGACTGCAACAACAGCAGCAGCA